CCAACGGACCTCCACTTACAAACAGTCTTTCATCGTCGGTAAAATGGCAGCCAAATGGTCGAAGGTGAGGTCTTTCTGACTGAAACAAAAAGGGGTTTGTTTTCAGGCGAAGTATAAGCGACAGCCTGGGGTCATTTCAAGATATAACGATGAGAAGCCCTTGCCTACAACGGATCCTTGCTCTTTGCCCCAACGAGTGTCGTATTTCTTTGATGGCCGTAAAATTTTTCATTGCAAAAGGTTCATTTTTTGTATGTCTATTGAGATTTTTCCGTTGCACCGTTTCAGTAATCATTCTATAGGTATGGAAGTTATCTCTCTTTGGCCGAGGTTTGAAAAGCACCCTTTTGTAAATGATACAGAAATATCAAGTCACTCTGTTTGTAAACAAATATCTTATCTGTACCTCTTCACATCTCATGGTTTATAATCAGTTTATAATAAGCGTAATGACGATGACGGTCACCATCATCACCTTTATTAACTTGTGATGTGACACGGGATGTGATCGCATCTGCCAGATCGTCTTCAGCGTCTGCTTTGTTAAGGGCTTCTAAGTTTAATGTTTCATCTTTTGGATTCACAGGCGTGTGAAACAGCCATTTCACCTGGTGGTGAAAGTTGTTGTTGTGGTAAGTCTTTACCATAGCTAGAGTACAGAGGTAGGTATTGGTGGAACGTTATCCACTCCAACTGAAGCATCTTCTCGCTTCTATGCAGAGTTCCTGCCCGGTGACTGCCTTCAGCTGTGTTCTCCACTCAACTGCCAATTTGCATATCATAACAGTTAAATATTTATTTTGCTACACTGAGACATGGCATTTATACTGGCGCTTCTACTTTTTTTATACGCATATAATGACTTTCAAGGTATTTATTTGTCTCAGTTTTTTCGTTTGTCTTTTGAATGTTGGTTAGTAAGTTAGAATTTAAAGTTATTTATTTTTATAGATCGTTATTCTGCGGAATGCCATGCAGGCCATGAACATATGTGTGAAAGTCTGTAGCTCTCAGTGAACCGTTTCCTTGATTTATGTGATATTATTTTTCAGCCACAAGCAAGGGACTCGCCTCACACAGCAAACGAAGTTGGCGCGGCACCTGAAGGTACTTCTGCTTGATTGAATTCCTTCTGTTTGAATGCAATCAAAAAAGACTTTGTTTTTGCGTTGCTTGCACTCTGATTGTTATTAATTAGCGTGCTCTGGAAAGCTGCGAATCTACGATTCCACTATTAAATAGGTTTTCTTTTGCTGCATTTGAAATTGTGGCAGAAATGTTTTAAAGCGTACTTTCGATTGATTTTCGTTGTTCAATTTCTGTTTCGGTTATGTTTGATGGCCGCAAGCTTCGACTATGTAGGCTAAGTATTTTGGTTTATTTTCGTTCCTATTTTTTGTAACTTTCAGGAGTGAAACAGTTCGGTTACTCCTATGCCCAGGAAGTATGAGTTTGGGCATGTAATTTATGATCATTGTAATAATGACATTAGTTTTATCACTTATCACAATGATTCACATTAAAGCGCACGTTCCATTTTTAAGCTAATATAGTGAAAGGAAGACCTCTTGTTCAGATCTGTGCTCCAGTGGCCGTGTTGAAGTCTGACTTTATGTTTTGAAGTCCTTTATTTGATTATAACAAATGAAAATTTATTCTTGAGGTCAGTCATGAAATTTTTGTGGCTTTAAAACGCTTGTCTAATTTTTAAAAACTAGCACGGTTGTAACGTTCAGAATCAAATGCATATTTCTGTTCTGGTTCTATGGTTGCTAACGCAAAAAAGAAATTGACTCCTTTCTTGGCACTTATTCTGACGTTTCGACAGCGATGGTATTGGTCTTCATCAGAAGCGTCCTCAGGCTAAGCTGTATCACCAGATCAGGTGTTAAGTGCTATACTTGAATTCACTGCTGTATGCCTACACGTTTGAAGCAAAGAGTTTCGTTTATTCCACTTGCTGTAACGATTCATATTTGCTGCTCGTCGAATGGCTTTTGTTTATGAGGTTGTGACTCATAGCTTCATTTTTTCTATAAAAGCAAGAACGATCAGTTTCATCAAGCCTATTAGTAAATCTACAATATTACTCTCCTAAATTGAACTTTCTTAAAGAAACCCTAGAGATAGAGGTTTCCTAGCCTCTTGGATGCCCTGTCGCATTATGGGATAGAATGCAGGTTTTTTCATTACTGCAGCAAGAAAGCTGTATTGCAATTTGGTCCGATATCCATTCATTCACTGTGCTTATCTTCCCTTTCCGCTACAAGGAGGAGAATCTCACTTATAAGATATCTTTGAGAGCAGGTAGAAGAAGAAGAAATGTGAGTGTTAGTTTTGCATGCTTACTTCAGTACATTTGATGGAAATTTTGCGTATCGTTTAAAGCGTTCATGAATATTCGCAGCAAGAAATACAATTTCGAAACAATTTACCAGCAATTTGAGGTGTGTGTCACAGTGGCTAAATAATTGGCTTTAAACTTCGGAGCATAAGGGTTCGAATCCGCTTAAGTGACAGTCCTCTTCGGGAATTGCCCTTACCAAGTAATTAACTCGACGTTACTTAAGCACATCCCGTTTAATGACGTGTGGAAATTCGGTGGTATAGGCAGCATGGCATTCTGGTGTGTTCTTGTCAGAATAGAAGAGGTGAAAGGCCATGCATTCTGATGTGAGCGCCATTTCTCGCTGCATTTTGCCTTGATGCACGAGATTGCTAATTACTTAGTGTGAATGCTGATTACAAGGTGCTGCGTCATTTCGAATTTCTGTAGTCTAAATCAAACAAATCATGCCTGAAGACTTGTTCATCAGTTTCGCATCTAAATCAAGTGGTATTAAGTCTAAGGATTACCAAGGCAGATATTAGAAATGGCACTTCCCAGAGTAACTATCACATCCATTTCAAAACGAATCCAGCTACGTTTATGAGTGTTGACTAGATGTACATCATATTATGCATTTTCCCAAGTCGACGTATCTGGCTGCAAATATACAGATATATAGATAAATAGCTCCAGTATGTCTAGCGCAGTCGCGCTTACACATTTGGCATTGCTACGCTTTAATTCATCCTGCGTTTCTATTAGCTGGGGATAAGATAAAAGGAAACATTTGTTAAAAGTGCTTCCACGCTAGAAACAAGCAGGCTTGAAAAATTGGCCGACCGGCGGCTATAACTGCGAAATTGTACTAGCCTGCTTTATTCCGAAAATTGAGTATTTGATTCACACGTTTGTGCTCAAACTGACGACATCAAGGCACGAACAATTTCGTCAGTCCGATGGTTGACCACTACCGACGTTTTTCACGTGACTAACATGGAGCAGGAAAAACTTTAAACCTCTTTAAAGCTAGAAGATCTATAATCTTCAAAATTTTCTTCTGCTTTTCGCAGCTGTTTCTATCTTTGGAATCACAAGGCATTCTAAATAGACTATGTTTTGTGCAATTTTTAGCATAAATAAAGTCTTTGTAAATTGATGTTCAGCTGCGATAGTTTGAGCACCTTTTGCGAATAGCTCCAGAAAGGCAAACGAAACAGTTGCTACTTTCCAAGCCGACCGGTAGAACACTCAAATTATGGCCAAAGTTGAACTGGTGCAAATGTATTGAAGGAGTCTGCACTAGATTCCGGTTGTCTAAAGCCAAAATTCAGATGCTGACACAGGATTGGGAACTTTGGAACAGTGTACATCCTCTATCTGAAGAAAGAAACGGTCATTAAGTGAAACAATTGTTGTCTACATTATGACGCTGGTAGTTAAACAAAATCTTATGTGTAGAAACTTGGTATTGAAAGAATCATGAGATTTTGTTCATGGGCGCTTTTTTGATCTCTAGAAATTTCCCTTCAAAGGCCAGTCTTAACTTCTTCAATATCTCTGTCAAAAATGCAGAAAACAAAAGATTCTACGTTTCGGATAGTCATACAATTAATATTTCTAGACCAGTTGCTTCGTAAATTCTATCTCCCATGGCAATCAGCGTTGCAGACGTTTTGTTAGCAGTGCATCAATAACAAGGAAGCGGATCAATAGCGATGCCGGGATTGCTCTCAATGAATCACAAAAAATCAATAAATTTTATCGGTTTTAAGTTGAGCTCTATCCCGCTGATACTTTAGGCCCATTCTAACTCATTTGAATATAAAAGTGGTATTATATTATGAAAATGAATTCTTATTATCATTGTGTAGTCGGTTATATTACACGTTGCGCCAAAATATTATGCATTTGAATTCCGCTGAAGAAATATAATCTGCATTTCCTCTCTTCGTGTCTTGTGAGTGTTACCAAAATTTCACGTTATATTAAAGTATGGTTGACGAAATTAAAGTATGATAAAAGCGATCTCACTTTTTGAAGAATCTTAGTTGAATTTTGAAGCCAACTTTAAAAGTTTTGCAAAATTATTTACACTTTGTTTTTTCTTTCGAATTTGACTGCCGGAGATTGATATTATTAAAAACGCGGGAAAATTCTGCCAAATTGGCACATGGTGACGTCACAATGAGGACTACTGTACGGTAAGATTAACAGGTAGAAACAAAGAACCGGATTGCCGCCGATATTTTGAAGATTCGAATTTCCCACATTGTCGTTTGCAGTCCGTTTGTCGGAGAGGTAAGTCGTGTCGAGAACAGCGTCTGCTTGTAGTTGTGTTATCTTCAATGTGGTAAAGTTTTGTTAGCTGTTTCGCTTATGTTGAGGTAAAAGTTGGGCAATTTTTGTTGCGTGTTAGTTACGTTAGGTGACGTGTCCGAATTTGGTAGCGCAGTATTAAGTAAATTGAAAAATCTTAGACCTTGACTTAAATATGAGGTTTCTATTGATAAATTAGTATTAACTAGTCGCTGATTCTTAAATTTAGCTTTAACGAAATATGATTAAGGCTTTGTTTGCCAGGAAAGCATTGTGAAATCGCGCGGTTGGCTTTACTGCTTGAATTGTTTGTTGACGATGTTTTGTGCAGAATTCGCCAAATTAACGGACCGTCATGTTCGAGGCAAAGTTGGCTAGTGCCGTTGTGCTGAAAAAAATCTTGGACGCGATCAAAGACTTGCTGACCGATGCGCCGTGGGACTGCAACGAAAGCGGCATATGTTTGCAGGTATGATGATTTTCTGTCTCGGTATTCTGCCGGTACGTTTGCAACGTCGATTTTTTGCTGTTTATTCTAATATGCAAATTACTTAATAGCATGTGCTCAGTAGATGACTTTTCGGATGCGTATTTTTGTTTTGCGTTGCACGAATTTCGTTTCTTCCTTTATGTTCAGGCGTTTCCTGTAGCTCTTACTTTGGCTAATTGATTGCTTTTTGTATATTTGCATAAAGAACGATGCTTTGAATTCGAAAACGATTTCCCGCGAAAATTCTCTCC